GGGGGTGGCTCAGGGGTCTGGGCTGGGGGGCTGTGAGGAGCTATGGAGGGTGGGCTCAGGGGTCTGGGCTCAGGGCTGGGGGGAGCTATGGAGGGTGGGCTCAGGGGGCTGGGCTGGGGGGAGGGAGCATGGCAGGGCTGGGCTCAGAGTAGGGCAGGGGCTATGGGGTGCCTGCTCGCACCTGGGGGGAAGTGACATGAGGGCTCCCGGAGGGGGAAGTCTGTGCCATGGGAGCTCGTGGTGAGGCTCGCGCAGGAGAGGCCTAGGAGTCTCCCCTTGCACCCCGGGAGGGGATCCTGCCCAGCGTGGTGCTGCCAGCCCTGCAGGTCCTCTCCGCTGCGCGCGCTGGCGGCTGTTGCGCGGGCAGCAGTTTGGGCTCTCAGCGGTCGAGCTGGGACATCTCACCTTTGCTGGGGTCAGCGCTCCCAGCAAGGGCGGCTCTCACAAGTCACACGTGTCTGTGTACATCACGGAGTATAGAGGCTGGTTCCTCTGTGGGTCACAGCCTTGGGCCCCAGTATTATGTCCTGCTCCCCTCTGCTTGAGAGTTGTTGAGCTTTATGGCCTGATGCTCTAACTTGTGACTTTTTTGTAGCGTGCTTGTTCGAACATTTGGGATTATTTCAGATGCTCTGAGGTGATTTAAGTCAACATCTAGGCCTTTATGCTTAGTAATAACAACAGCATCAGCCAGTGCAGCCTCTTCAGCCTTGTGTAGAATTTCAGCACCCCAGTGTATTTGCAGAAATGGTATTCTCTCGTGGTGAGAGGCTGCTTCTTGAAGGCTGGACTTAGTGAAGCAAGAAGCAGAGAAATGATTACAGTTGGAAAAGAACAGGAAAAGATGTAGGACAAGAAATCTTGGATAACTTAAATTGTCAACTGTACATGTTGAGCAGGGACTCAAGATCACTCACTCTCTTGAGAGCGTGTGAAATGTTTCCTAGAAGAACTGTAACTGCAGTCAGCAAATCTGCGAGTTTGCAATACCAGATGTGTGCAAGGGGAAAAGAGAGTTGCCTTTTTATGTACAAGCTAATTTCTGTCTGTTGATGAGTCCTGTAGAGAAACAGATAAGATTAACAATTATCTGAAATTAGATCTTAGGACCAAAACGAGTCTTGAAAAACAAACCTTGTTGTGTGGCAGTCCGCAAGTATATTGCCAGTCTAAAATTTTAGTTTTGTAGTCTAGAAATAGTACTTTAGCAGATCTTGGTGTAGCTTTCAGTGTGGGTGTGAATCTTGCACCGAGGGAAAATGGAACTGCTTTACAGATGCCAAGTAAATTTGAGAGAGGATTGTTGTTAGTGTTCATGTTCTATATGTTCAAAGAATTTTAAATAAAACACAAGGCAAGTCTCTGGGCTTTGCTATATCCAAGTGATATCTGGATGGCACAGAGGTTCAAAGTAAAAATAATATTGTTGGACAGCTAGGTATCTGGTTTGATGTAATTTCTAATGAGCATTGTTCATTGGAACAGCAACTGGAGTAGAGGAAACATTAGACTGTTCAAAAATACATGAAAATGAATGGGTTTTCCTATTAAATGGATTATTGTCGATGGATGAGAGTTTTTTCTTATCAGACTAGTGAAATAAATGCTGATAAAAGCTTTTTCTGTATTGCTGCAAAAATTGGGCTATATGCTATATGATGAGCCTTTTGGCAAAAAACCAAAACAAATACATCTTCTCTAGAGGTCCCAGTTGTCATTACCAAGTCCTGAATTTGCTTCGGGTTCTGCTAAATATCTTTCTAGACGGAACGTATTTCCAGGCCGTGTCTCCCCATTCCTCCTTGTAGGTGGGGAACTATCTGCGTATGTTCCGAGGTTCCCTGTACAAGAGATATCCCTCACTGTGGAGGCGACTAGCCACAGTGGAAGAGAGGAAGAAGATAGTGGCATCTTCACACGGTAAGAAGATGAGTAAACATTCCCAGTACTGAAGTCTGGAGGATTGCCCTGAAAACTGTGGCTGGAGATTCAGAAGCTTGTACACCTTTCAGGCTATGCAAATCTCTTCAGATTGCTTCAGTGATGAACCCGACAGCGATGGCACTAGTAGCTCCTGGCTCTACCTAGCAGAGAACCTGAAATGATCACAAATGTTCCAAAATCAAATGTACCTCATGGCTTTCCTGGGGTGAACTACATTCATCACAAAGCAAAAGCCATTCCAGAAGAGGGTTTTATGGTGTGCTGTGACAAAGGGGAGGGCTTTTTTTTTTCCCTTTCGCCACATAGGCAGGAACATTGCCAGCATGTCCTGTTGAAAATGTGATTCTTTACTCAACCTCACCTTTTGCAGGGAATGAGTATTTATGACTGCCAGAACTTGGTGGTGTGTTGCTACAGGTGTAACTGTCACAGTGAGAATGCTGCTGTCTCAGCGTGATTCTTGGTGGGAGACTAATAACAGGAAGTTAAATTTCTTAGCAGAATAAGCTGTTGTACACTCTTCAGGCTAGAGCTTAATAAAAATCATTCATTAGAGACTTACTGTCTCCTTCCTCCGAGTGTTCTGCTGACTTGTGTTTTTTTTCCTTTTCCCAACAGAAAATCAACGATCTCACAGTCCCAGAAGATGTAAGTCTTATCTGTGTGCTATTCTTAGCTGTGCTAGAGAAAGAATCTCCACTGTGACCTTTGGTGCTATTAAAATACATACTAATGTCTAATTCTCTTCCTCTGATGTCTCTTTGTGGTTACCCTAATTGTGCATCCTGATCATATACTTAACTTTTCCTTCCCAGAATGTTATGGGCTCTCAAAGTATGCATGGTCTTGGCAGTTCAGCAAGATCTTTCCCAAGGTTTTTGCCCCTTCCCCGAGTCTTCTCCACTTGTGTTCCTTTGCTGAATAAGACTTTAGCTTTCAGTAGTATCTGAGGTGTCTGTTCAGCCACTCAGTTTTTTGTTGATCATTGCCTCTCTGTTTTGAACCTTTGAGTCCACTGAGGATTTATTAATAATTTCCTGGGCCTTTTCGTCCTGAAAGGCCGTGGAAGAGATTTAACATCATTTCAGCAAATTCTAGGTGTGCAGAGCTAAATCATGTGATTGCACAGGGCGACCCGGGGTAGGAAAATATGTTTTTTTCTCTTCTTTCCCTTAAGTAAAAAGCATATTAGATTTAATGCTTATCTAATACTTTATTAGGATTCAAGGACTTCTTCTGAAGTTTTGGGTTTTGCTAGCATTGTTTTCCATCTTAAGTAAATTTCATAAAAGAAATGTCCAGACTCTATAAGCATGTTACACTTCGAAAGAACTAGGCTCACCTGTGGTTGGTCAAAGTCATGTTTTAGTTCTGTGGACTACTGTCTCCCCTTTCTAAAAGCACAGTACAGTTTCCAGAGTTTTCTGGTAAATCCAATCCACAGGGTAAGGTTAGTATGCACTGTTGTGAGGTACAGTGATGAGAATACCTGAGGGAAGCTCATGTAATTCTAACCCTCCCTGTGTCTGGACCCTTAGTCCAAATGAAAGATATTTAAGGTAGAGAGATATGGATGCTTTTCACAAATCTTTGCGCTGTCACTATGCAGCCATTCAAAGGTATCATACTTTTTTGGTCTACTGCATTGTATTTCTTCTCTAAGCTTTATAGTAGGGATTGCTGTTTATTAACTAAGATACCCTCACCCCCAAAAGGAAGTCACATTTGTTTCCTCTGTTCATATGAATGTCAAAACTAGATTATGTTTGTTTAGTGTCATGCACCGTGGTTAGGCTTTCAGTTGCCCCAGAGCAAGTAATCTATCTGAGTAGCAGAGCATCCTGGTTTGTGAGGGAGAGTGGGGGCTTCTGGCAATTCAGAAATGGCAGAGGAAAGTTCTGTGATGACCATTTATTCCATGTGTGCAAAACGCCTTGTCAAAACCTTCCTCTAAAATTAAGCATCTATGAGAGGATGAATGAAGTCCAAAAATGTGTCCTTTTGGGGGACACATTCACTCCAACTCTTAACCTATTTTAGTCCCACCTGCATGGCAGGGAGAGGCTATTTCTCTGAATCCTACTAATGCTATATTGCTATATAATGCTATTTTCCATGTTTCACTATTGTCATCTTTCCTGGTAATAGATCATGGCTATACAACATTAGCCACTAGTGTGACGCTGTTAAAAGCCTCTGAAGTGGAAGAGATCTTGGATGGAAATGATGAGAAGTATAAGGCAGTGTCTATCAGCACAGAACCTCCCACCTACCTCAGGTAATGAGCATCACTGAGGGCTGAGATTGAAATGAGTTGCTTGGAAGATGTCAGCTCGTACAAGAAGCACTGCCCTGTCCCATTAGAAATCACATAAATCCATCATGCAGAGGGGTGCTTGCCAGTCTGTACTAACAAAACATTTGCAGTGTTCGGCAAATAAAGATCTCCAGAGCGGAAGGATGAAGTTACTGCCCACGTAAAACAGGAAGGAAAGCATCAATATTTGATGATACTGCTCCTTCTGCAATTATTTCGTTCAAGTCTAATGGATGTTTTGCAGAGCACTTTCTGCACTATCTTTTGGAGCGGTCGCGTTTCTCAGCAGTCGCCTTATAAAGTATAGACAGAAAATCCAAATACAAGCCTGATATTTATAAAGGTGGATTTATGTGTGATGAGTAGTTGTGAGCTGGAGGATGGGCTTTCTAGAGGCTAGTGTGGAACATAAGTTCCGAGTGGAACAATATTAGTTTAGGTTCTAGAATAAAATGGCAGAATCTCCTAATGGGACTTACAAAGGAAAGCTATACCGTTCCCTAAATAATAGCAGTGATGTTCAGGGTGTACAGCTTAACCTATGGTCTCCTCCTTCAGGGAACAGAAGGCAAAGAGGAACAACCAGTGGGTGCCGACCCTGCCCAACAGCTCTCATCACCTGGACGCGGTGCCATGCTCAACAACTATTAACAGGAATCGCATGGGCAGGGATAAGAAGAGGACCTTTCCTCTCTGGTAAGACAGCTGTCTGCTTCTGACAACTGGAAATGGTTACAGACATGATGCACTGCCAGGATAATGCTGATGTGTTAATATAATATTCTGATTTATCTCTGACAAAATACCTATATGTTCCTAATATAGCGGTTCTTAGTTAAACTGTATGTCTTGAGGCTCTTCCATAGGGCAGCCAGCCATAGTTCAGGCATCTCTCAGAGAGGAGGCTTTCCTTTTGTCAAGAAAATGGTTCATTCTTTTCCTGATAGGTTCCTTTGGATTTTCTGCTGATTTGCTGAACAGCTGTCATTTGAGAGAGGTGCAAATCTTCTACACGAAGGACTGAGACTACCTCTCACTGACATATTCCAGTAACTTTGTCTAATTTCCTCATTGGAAAATGCTCCTGGGCTCATAACTAACTACTTTTTTCTACAGAACAGTTAAGGAGGCCAAGATAAAAGCTAACCCTGGAAAGGCTTCCCTGTTTTGTTTACAGGAATGCATTGTGATGCATGCGATTAAAAAGTGATACAGCAACTTGGTGTTGGTTGCCATAGTCCTGTAAGCTCGTGTTGAGGAGCCTACGTAAAGGCTGATAGGGGAGCTGGAGTATGGGGACTGCTTCCAGCAAACCGTGCCTTCCTTTTCCAGGTGCCAGATGTATCATTTTCGAGTTTCATACACTGTGTTATTGCTCTTTGTGTTAGCTTTGATGACCATGACCCAGCAGTGATCCACGAGAATGCATCCCAGCCGGAGGTTCTGGTTCCAATCAGGCTTGATATGGAAATTGATGGGCAGAAACTCAGAGATGCGTTTACGTGGAACATGAATGGTAGGTAGCAAGGAGAGTTTCCTGAGGGTGGAGAGAGTTGCATCCATCGCAGAATATGAAAAGAGAGCAAGCATGGGTGTGCATGTTCTTGCCCCAGATACATAGAGATTTAAAGCTCTCCCAGTTAGGTGGACTGTCAGGTTTCTTAGTGGATGCTGTGCCACTTCTATGGGTTGTACTCATTCCTGGAGATGTGTAACTGGAAGTGTTTAACTGGCCTATTCTCCTGACCCAGTTCATCAGTTCAGCAGCCTAATGAAATTTATTCTGTTAGCTGAGATACCTTAAACACTTAATGTGTACGGCTCCTTTATGTATGTGGATTGTTAGGCTATGTTGTCTCCATGAAGCAAATAGAAGGCTGTTAGTTCAAGTCTGTGTGTCAGAGTGCACATGTTCTTGCAAACCTGAAACTAAAAATGCTTTTAACAGCAACAGATGATGCATTTGGGATTCCCCTCTTTACAGGGTTAATTTTGTGTACTCTGTAAGGGAAGACATTGATTGCTGAGAAATTTATTGATGTCTGTTCATTCTTGTTCTGTATCAGAAAAGCTAATGACCCCAGAAATGTTCTCTGAGATTCTTTGTGATGACCTCGATTTGAATCCTCTGACTTTTGTCCCCGCTATTGCCTCTGCCATCCGACAACAGATAGAGTCGTACCCGACTGACAGTATCCTGGAAGACCAGTCAGATCAACGAGTTATTATTAAGGTAATACAGGAAGGAGCTGAATCACTTGTCTGGTTATGTTACAGGGGAAGAAAAGTACAAAGGCTTCTTTCAGAGCTAAGGAGCTCTTAATTCCAGTCCTGTGTCCGGATTACTTTTGCCCTTTGTGTTGAGGACAGCACCAAGGTGGCAGATTACTAAATATTCATGAGATGATGAAAGAGTTCAGTTAAAGCATTGTGGTGCCCTTTTGGAAGATCTGAACCTTGATAAATAAAGCTGAGTCGTCTTCATCCTACTGGAATTAAAGAATTTGGCCAGGAGCTCTGCAGATGCAATGAACTAGAATTTATCTCTGTTTCTCTTGTCCCGCCTCCACCTCCATGTTAAATTACCTTTGACCAGCTATTGCCAGAGATGGAAACAATTGACTTGTGTTTCTTCCCTCCTCAGCTAAACATCCACGTAGGGAACATCTCCCTTGTAGACCAGTTTGAATGGGACATGTCAGAGAAGGAGAATTCACCAGAGAAGTTTGCCTTGAAGCTGTGCTCAGAGCTTGGCCTGGGTGGAGAGTTTGTCACCACTATCGCCTACAGCATCCGGGGACAGCTGAGTTGGCATCAGAAGACGTACGCCTTCAGGTACAGAACTGTCGTTTTCCTAGTGTGGGTTTAAGATGCATGTTCTTGCTTCATAGCCTTTAGCATCAATGAATCTTTGAACAGCTGACCTGGCGTAGAAAGTGTTTCAATCAAAATTGGTTCTGATGATGGTGTGCACTTGCTCTGTCCTCTTAAAGAATTTTTGTATTTTTTACATACAAAAGTAACAGTGCTTGGCTTCTCAGGTTTATGTGATCACTGGAACCTAAAACCACCTTCTTTGTAAGAAAGCTTATCAAATAAGAAATAAGTAGGGGCAGTTAAAGACCTTTTCTTATTTGGACATCCTTTTGTATGTTTCCTGGCAATAAAAAAGGCAATTCCCATAGAGCCAGTATCATTTAAAGATCATTGGTTGTGCAAGGTTGGCAGCTTAGTTTCCTTTTTTCTTACTGTTCTAGGTGGCTATCTGCCTTGAAGTGGCTACTATGTCACACATACCAGGGTGGTTAGGTTAGGTTTTGTGGGCGAGGCGTACGAGACGCGGTAGGGAAACAGAGCACGTTGCTTTATGAAATGGGGGGATTCTTATGGATAACAGGAGTTTTAGTGCCATAGATAGGGCTGGAACTAACCAAATTATCCTGAATGCCAGTGACGCCTGTGCAGCTTAGGTCACGTCTTACTTGGACACAGCTCTCTGGGTATCACTGGGTGCCTGACTGATGAACAAATGAAGCAGTTTGATCTAGTGCCTTATGTGTGAATTAGTCAGCTTGTGCTCAAGGATCTTTTTGTATTGGGTGCAATACATTCCAGGGCTGAGTATTGATAATGAAATAGCTTTTGCCACAGAATGAAAGGCCATCCTAATCAACGGTGAATTTGCCTTGTGCCTCCCTCTTCTAATCTATGCTAATGATCAGCCCCAGACACATTTCTGTCTCCTCAGCTTTGCTTGACTCAGACCATGTGCCCTCGCTTAAGCTTTTGCTAAGACTGATTCGAACTGTAGCTCACTACCTTGGCTGAATTAAAGCTGGCTTGATCTTAGGCCCTTCTCATAGCTGAAATGCAGCGATGTCAGGTTTGATCAGGCAGCTTTGTAACTTGTCTCTTAGTGGTAATCATTTCCAGTTGTGCTGAGCAGTGCTCTGTGGTGAGTTACTGTACTGATGTTATCTTCAGTAAGTTGCTGAGCGTACAGGCTTTAAGTATCCACTGATGTGCTAGTCTCTGTGCTGGCAGGTTGTCTGACCTCAGGAAGTTTGGGAGTTCAGCAAATGAAGTATTTGCAGAGGTGGGGGGAAGGTACTGTTGACGCCAGTTTTGTAGACGTCCTGGGGTCAATCCAAGAAAATGGGATGACCTGCCCTGGCAGCAAGGGGAAATGTGTCCAGCCCTGTCTTACCCCAGGGAGAGGGTAATGAACGGTTGGTGTGGAGGTGCGTGAGGAGGAGCTGGAGACTGAGAGGCAGCCAGCTGCTTTGGCAAGATCTGCTCCTCGCTCCTCCTGCCTCTGAGGCTTTCTTATCTAGTCAGCCTTCTACTGCCTGCTTGGAAAATGGGCACTCATGTAATCTGGACTACATGGGCACTCTAGGCCAGCTGCTCTTCCACTAGTCTTTCTCTGCTTCCTCTGGAGGTTATTTTCATTCAGAAAATTTTTAGCAACTCCTTGATTCTAAAATGATACCCGAAGTGGCTCATATTAGAGAATGGAAAGAGACTCTGTCACTTGGAGATTGAATTCTTCTAGTGAAGGTATTAGATTGTGCATCCATCCCACTGACGTTCCATGGAGGTGGGGGAGGTGACTTCTGCCTCTCCATCCATGACAGCTGACTGATACTTGAAGATCCAGTGTGGGACCAAATCAAACTGTAATAATGGA